AGGGTTAGGTTAACGGTTGGGCTTGGTGATCTTAAAGGTCTTTTCCAACCTAAAAGATTCTATGATTCTATGATTCTACGATTCTAACATCTGGGCCAGTTGGCTGCTGTCAGAATGGCACAGCCTGGACCTGCCATGAATTTTAGCTGAGCCTGCTTAGAGGCACAGGGCACACCTCTGAGCCTGCAGCAGAAGAAGAGCAGCTGAGGTTCTCCATTTATGGGAGCAAACCTCTGTCTGACAAGAGAACCCATAGCACTTACCAACTTCATTAAAGATATCCTCACTTCAACCTTGGAGGATGGAAAACCCAGCAGGATCCCCTGTGGTCACAGGAATGGCGTATGTTTCCTCCTGATGGAAGAGTGGCAGCAGCATCTCAAATTTGTCTCAAGCCCAATTATCAAAACCAGGCTGTGTGAAAAGCCCATCTGTACACTGAGCCAAAAGCATTTTGCACTTAAAAGTTGTTTTAAAAAAGAAAAGATCAGTTGCTTTGGAATAAGGGGGTTCTTGAAATTAGCAATCCAAGATGAACTGACAGAACAGTTCTTTCCCATCCAAAACTATGTATATAAAGAAGTAAATTTATATTGTGGTTGAGGCCACAAAACCACCAAAAATATCAGTAGCTGATACGCAGTTCCAGCTGCAGGCAGGACTGCAGAACCAGTTCATTGCTACAAGGAGCAGAAACTGCCATGAGTATTCTAGCTTCCTTTTTGATTTGCTGGTTTTGAAGTGATTTCACTTCAGTTAGTGAGGATGAGATCCAAATGTCAAGGGGCTGGAGGATTTAAAAACGTGTGCAAGAAGTACTTTTTGGGTAGAAGCTCTCAGCAGGTCTCTTTGGACATGTCTAGGCACCTCGTTCATTGTACAAATACAGCCAGCGCTGGAGGAGAGCAGCTCCTGAGGCTCACTCACCCACCAAAGGAAATGTTTGTTTTGTGCAACCCCCAGATTTCCCCTGACCTGGAGCCTGGGATGGAAAATGCTACAGGTAAAATGAGAGCTGGAGCACTTTGATATCCTGAGGTGATGAGTTGGCAGAGGACATGGTGTGGTTCCTGATGACCCACCAGTCTGGCATCACCCATGAGGTTGTCCTAGAAGGTCTTCTTCAGCCCAGAGGTCAGAAGTCCTCGTGATGAACCCCTGGAGCAGCCTGCCCAAGGCAAGGGCAGCAGAGCTGGAGCTCAGCAGGGAGGAGGAGCTTGGTTCCATGCTTTCCCTGCTGGAGGGGAACTCGCCATTTCCCACCTGCATCTTCCCGTCTGTTGCTGTCAGCCCCCAGAAAGACTTGGAGAAGGGACTTTTAAGTGAAGCTTATGATCCAGGGTGGAAAAGCCACCAGGAATACCCCCTTGCTGCTGGGTTTAGCAGGGCCCCAGGAGCTCAGGGGCAGCAGGGCTGGTTTTCGTGCTCTCTGCTGGAGCAGCAAGCTCTGCCCACAGCACCCTACACGCAGCTTGCAGTAGCAGAGAGGCTTTACCCAGCACCAGCAGATACACCATGGGCTGGACTTGAAGCTCAGACCACAGGGCAGGGACACCCAGTGACATTGCTTTGTAATTTGGTTTTTTTTTTTTTTTTCCCTGCGCTTTTGTGCTAGATGTGCGTTCCAGCTTCCAGGCCAGGCCAGGATACAGCCCCGGACACATCTTTTTCATTGTATTTATTTTAAGCAATCCTCCCATTTTCATGTATTCGTAATTTAATCTGCCTGGGTTTTATGGGCCAGAAGGGTGGTGTTTTGGCTTGGAGGGTGCGTGGGACAGTAAATGTCGTCTGCATCATGCGTGTGGGCCTGCCTGGCGGGCTGCAGGGCGTGCACGGAGGGGGAAGGAGGCACATGGGGGGCGCAGAGGGCTGGCAGCCCCCCCAATGGAGCATCCCCCTCGTAGGCAGATGGCGAAGCCTTGAGGAGGAAGCGAGTGTGTTCGCACATAGGGAGGTGATTTGGATGCAGCAGGGAAGCGTGGCAGGGTCTGGCCAATTTGGCCAGGCTGCTGCTCGTTGTTATAGCAACCGGAGTCTGCTGTCAGCCCAGAGGATGGAGCCCGAGGATGGCAACAGGGAAATTTTTCTTTTTTTTTGGAAGCAAAGGGGGGATTTTGAATGGGTGAAGAGAGGGAGAAGTTGAAAGTCTGGAGACCAGGATGGAAACTGCAGAAGGATGGGCAGGATACGTTGGAATGGAGGATCCTCCACACCCACATTCAGCTGGTGTCCCATCACACCGGGGGCAGAGCGAAGGTCTGGCCAGGGTCCCTGTCCTGCTGGGAAGGGGATGGTCTGCCAGGCCATGAGGGGCACAGCAATGGCCTCCTCAACGGCAGCAGGACCAACACCACTGCTGGTGGGGCAGCCTGGGGGAAGGAGGCAGAGGGGAAGGAGCACAGAGGTGCAGTACCGAAATCCTCTGTGACCACCCCAGCATACAGCAGTGGTTGCAACTGTCGCTTGGGGTAAAGGACCAGCAGCTGGAGAAGGCTGTCCCAGCCACAACCCTGGTGCATTTGGGCTTATCACACCTCCAAAACATCCTGATAACCCCTTGGATCTCTGCAGTGATCTGCCAGTGCAAAACGGCCCTGGAGACTCCACAACAGCCAGCACAGACCTTTCCATGGCAAACCAGGCTGAGCATTTTAACAGAAACTGAGACACCACAAACCCCTTTGTGAATCCAGCTCCTGAATTACTGAGATCTTGAAATACAGTCAAGGTCTTTTAGCATGACGTCTCTGCGCAATAGAACTGTTAATGACATTTGCATAACAAAAATCACTAAATAATCTTGCATTTCCCCCAGGAAGCGTCAGTTCACACCGCAGCAAGCCTCAAGAACTCAGCACCGCTGTGTTTTCGGAGGAAAGCTTTTGGAGGGGGAAAAGAGGAAAGCTTTGGCAGGGCCATGCTGCAGGGTAAAAGCCTCCAGCCTGGCGCAGCACCCCGCTCCTCACTGCTCTGCCTCGGAGATTGCAGCAGCGGGTGCGAGGGATGCGGGGGCTGCAGGGGCGGCCCCCACCTCACCCTGTGGGGACCTGGAGCACCCCAAGGTCCCCTGGGAGCCCCAGGAGTCCCTTGGAGCACCAAAAGCCCCTGGAAGCCCCTGGGAGCCCCTGGGAGATCCAAGAGCCCCTGGGACCCCCCTGGCTGCAGCCCAGTGAAGGGAGGGGAGTCAATAACCTGCATGGTAAATAATTCCATCAAGCTTTTTATCACTTTAAGCAGGGCAATTTTGCTTGGCCCTGGGATTGCTTCTGTCTATTTTAGGCTTCTGGCTGATCACGGAATGTACTTCTTTACTCTACTCTGGTGAGACCCCACCTGGAGCCCTGCGTCCAGCTCTGGGGCCCTCAGCACAAGAAGGACATGGAACTGTTGGGGCGGGTCCAGAGGAGGGCTACAAAAATGATCCGAGGGCTGGAGCACCTCTGCTATGAGGCCAGGCTGGGAGAGTTGGGCTTGTTCAGCCTGGAGAAGAGAAGGCTGCGGGGAGACCTGATTGCGGCCGTTCAGTACCTAAAGGGGGCCTATGGGAAAGATGGGAACAAACTTTTTAGCAGGGCTTGTTGTGACAGGAAAAGGGGTGATGGTTTTAAACTAAAACAGGGTAGTTTTAGACTCTATACAGGGAAGAAATCTTTTGTGATGAGGGTGGCGAAACACTGGCATTGGTTTCCCAGAGAGGTGGTGGAGGCCCCATCCCTGGAAACATTCAAGGCCAGGTTGGATGGGGCTCTGAGCAACCTGATCTGGTTAAAGGTGTCCCTGCTCCCTGCAGGGGGGTTGGACTAGATGGCCTCTAGAGGTCCCTTCCAACCCAAAACATTCTATGATTCTATGATTCTTCCATCCCCCCTCTCACACCCATCGGGCTTTTATCATCATGGCCCTTCCTTTTAAGTGGGGCTCTGAGATAAACACTTCAATACACCTGTATCAGTCGCTCATTATGCTCTGACATCCTCTTTGAATTTTTATTCCTATCTGCTTTTTCCCCCTGTATAAGAGAGTATTTCTCATCTCCACTCCCCACACGTCGAGGGTTCGGGTTGGGTTTCCCTTTGCTCTGCAAGGCAGTGCAGTGGTCAGCCTCAAACACCCATTTGGGTCCAGAGGAGGGCCACAAAAATGATCCGGGGGCTGGAGCACCTCTCCTATGAGGACAGGCTGAGGGAGTTGGGCTTGTTCAGCCTGGAGAAGAGAAGGCTGCCGGGAGACCTGATTGAGGCTTTTCAGTACCTACAGGGGGCCTATAGGAAAGATGGGGAAAATCTTTTCAGTAGGGCCAGCTGTGACAGGACAAGGAGCAATGGTTTTAAACTAAACCAGGGTAGGTTTAGACTAGATATAAGGAAGAAGTTCTTTACAATGAGGGTGGTGAAACACTGGAACAGGTTTCCCAGAGAGGTGGTGGAGGCCCCATCCCTGGAAACATTCAAGGCCAGGTTGGACGGGGCTGTGAGCAACCTGATCTGGTTAGCAGTGTCCCTGCTCCTGCAGGGGGGTTGGACTAGATGACCTCTAGGGGTCCCTTCCAACCCAAAACATTCTATGATTCTATGATTTTAGGATCCATCCCAAGAATTCCTCACTAATTAAATGCCTTTCATTACAAACCAGCCCTGGGAAATAATCCAAGGGTAGGGAGGCCTGAATAGGCAGCAAGAGCTTGGGGTGAAAGGAAACAATAGGAAAGGAATCAAAAGCACAATGAGACTTCAGGGGGAGAAAGAAAAAGGCAGAGGGTACATTAGATGTGAACACAGGAACATGCAACGCCGGGCGCAGGCTGTGCCCCGTCCTCAGACTCGCTGTTTAACATTGGGTACGGGGTGGAAATCTTCATCAGCCAGGGACTCACCTTCCCACTGTTTATTCCTCCTTTCTAGCACCTCCTTTTTCCTCCCCAGGCGGCGCTGTCAGCTCTCCAGTGTCAGGATCTGCCCGCAGAGGGGCCTTCCGAAGCCGTGGGCAGTTTGCACTTCACCACAGCACGATTTCCTAGCACGCAGGGAATGGAAGAGTTCTGGGTGCAAAGCAGAAGCAGCTCCCTTGGGATGAGAAAATGACAAGAAATGCAAGATCTGTGTTTTGAAGAGAATTTACTCCTTGGTATTTAATGGGTTCATTTGATTCGTGTTGGAAATGCGAGGAAACTTTCCCTAGGAAGCCAGCGGCTGTGAAGCATAGGGCCCACTGTCCTTAGCAAATTTCCCAAAGCCACTTTTTTTGCCAAGCCCAGCTCGTGCAGGTGGTACCCTGAAACTGCAAGGAGGAGAATTCACCTAAATGATCAGCACAAAAGTAAAGCTGGATGAAGGCAAGTGCTGAAACTGTACTCCATGGAAAATCACTCCTTGTGGTCCATGCTGCAGGGATGAAGGCCCTCCCAGGTTTGACAGCCCAAGATTACGGGGTCTCTCTTGTTCCCTGCTGCTACCGACGAAAGCAAATTCTTGATCAGCTTTTCACTGGAGAATCTTTTAGACTTCATTTCCCAAAGGAGAGTTCAAGGACAGATATCCTGTTGGACGTAACCTTTTTTTCAGAGCGACCATTTCAGACGGGCTGGGCTGCCACGCTTCGGCTCCAGCGCGGGTGGGATTCAGCGCCCCGCAGGCAGCTCCCTCTCCCTTTCTGCACCGAGCGATCCGCGCTTTGGATGAACCCCACTGAGGGGCTCAGGCTTGCTGGGTGCTCTTTAATTTTCGAGCACAATGGAGCTGACTTGGGATTTCAATCGCGTTATGAAAGATTTGTTTCTGAGCAGCTGAAGAGGGGGAAAGGAGTACGTTTCTTCTGCCCACCTCATCAGGCTGAAATTTGCCAGTGCCAGCCTCAATCTGTCTTAAATTGCTCACACCATCCACCGGAGAGATCAGACTTGGGTACATAATAGAAGTTAATTCTGAAAATGATTACTCAGATAATTGAGTACTACAGCTGTAGTGGGTGATTCTGGCTCTGAGAGCCCCCTCTCACGTGCTTCATGTCCTCCTCCCTCCCTCGCCACCACTGTGGAGATGCCACCTCGCCTCCCCAGCGTTTGGCCTGGGGCAGGTCCCTTGTCCCCAGCCCTCTGCCAAGGCCACATCCCCCCAGCACCTCGGGGGCTCAGCTGAAGACTCCATGGCACCAAGCACCACAGCCGATGAGCACAGTGGGGACATGGGCTCTTTACAGCACCTAATGAATCACACAGGGATTAAGGGCCAAATTTACTAAAGGTATCCAGGTCCTCATCTTTTCCTGGGGAGCAAAACTCCATGACAAAGACGGGTGGTTTAGAGGTGGCATTTGAATTGCCCAGCTTCGGAGTCCCTGCAATGTAGATGACATTCCCTCCCAGTCAGGGGAGGTGCCCGAAGCAGAACAGATGTAGTCCCCATCTAACCTGGGAAAGGCAACGCAGGCAGCGTGATGGGTCCAGTGCAGCCTTTAACGAGGACTGAAGGAATGCCAAAAGATGGGCTGTGGAGGACAAGCACTGTAGTGGGAGTTCGGATGTCTGTGCTCTATTACCACCACTAAGTGGCTGTGGTTTCCGCCACCTCCATCGAAGAGAGTCATCCTTAATGTTGACAAGGGCACCACAAACCTTTACTCTGACAGATTTTAAGTAGAACACAAAGTTTAAAGAGGTGGGGTGGGGGGAAAGATACCTTGTGTTTCCACTCCTCCAGATCTCATTGAGTGTTTGTGCTCTTCCTATTGCGATGTCTTGAGGACCCAACTTGCCATTCTTCATCCAAAACACATCAGTT